CTGCAATTAAAACCCACTGCTGGCTGCGTGGATTTTTATCGTGGAATGGGGCGTCGCAGGTCGACCCAGCCTAAAATGGGTACCAGGATGTATGTCCTGTGGAAGTAAAAACAGCCAGTGTTATGTTGACCACATTACCCACCTAGTGCCTAATGGTGTGTAAAAATATGGTTGCTCTTCCCATATGCCCGATGCGTCTAAAGGAGTGAAAAGGGATCTTCACTTTACACTAATAAACTTGTAAGAATTTGTGCATGTACATGTGATTTTACCCCCAAAAAAATGATAAAGAAATGAAGAAAAATCAGTAAACGTGAACAGAGTGGAGAATTAATTGGAAAACCTTCCCCTTCACCAAAAAAATGTTTATCATGACATCGCCGCTTTGATACCACTAAGGGCAAATTATGACATAACTCCTCCAAAAGCAAAATTTCTTTTCCTGACAATCCCCTGCCCCCTTTCCCAAATGTTATTTTTAGTAAATGTAATCATTCGGTCTTCCTAAACACTGCAGGCACAGCCAGAACTAATGCTAGGCTTGTCAGGACTGGCTAGTGCAGCAGTGCCAGTCTTAATTACAGTGGAACCTCACTTAACGAGCATAATTCGTTTCAGAAACACTCGTTATGCGAAACAATTTTTCTCATATAAATTAATGTAAAATGCAATAATGCGTTCCATGTCCAAAAAAATACTCACAAAATGCTATGTACAACGTTTATTCAAAGAAAATTATATGCATATTGTTAAGGAGAGTAAATCATTTTCATCTTTTCTTCAAACGCGGAACAAATTCGATTTGCAGAAAACAAAACGAAAAGTCGAAATAATATGATACATAGCTATTTTTTTTTTACGAGAAAGATATCCAGAGACATTTGTTTTTGCCGACACTTCAAAATTTGGCAAAAATGCGACACAGCATTATCATTAAATAAATTTGCAGCACGCATAGCCACTTCCTTATTAGGGTGATGCTTCTCAGTGTAAGATGCAACAGTTTCCATGCTTTCAGCATTTCTCTTATTTCGCCAGAAGATTGTTGCTTTTCTGTTACCTCCTCCTCCTCTGACAAACTTTCCCTCCAAACCTTCTTGCTGTGAAACACAATGCAACTCCATAAGCTCTTCAGTGGTCAGCTCTTGGCTGTGCTCTTCCAGAAGCTCTTCAATATCACTGTCGTCCACCTCCAATCCCAAGATAGTGGCCAAAGACACAATCTTGTTGACTACAGGTTCCACAGGTACTGTCTCGAACCCCTCAAAGTCAAAAATCGACAAAGCTGTCCGGCCAAAGCTTCTTCCAAGCAAAAGTTAGGGTTTTCTTGGTAACCCCTTCCCCCGCCTTGTTGATCATCTTGAGGCAGGCAACGATGTGGAAGAGATTTTTCCAAAACTCTTTAAGAGTGAGGTTGGTTCCTTCAGTCACCTGAAAAACAATGCTGAAGAGTGCTTTAGTGTAGAGCTTCTTAAAGAAATAACTTGTTGGTCCATGGGCTGGAGTAACTTAGTGGTGTAAGGAGGCAGAAACTAGATCTTGATTAACTTAAATTCTTCAGGGAGGTCATCTTGTAGGCCTGGAGGATTCATGTACATAAATCACAATATAACAAGTTTTAGAAAGTGTGTGATCACAAGCGACACTACGATGCTACTGGAACGAGTGCTAAACACTGATGTAATGTGCCCACAATCCGGGACTTCCCCTCTCCTCGCCACTCGTTATGCAAAACCTCGCTCCTTAAGCAAGTCATTCTTTTACTATTTATTTTGCTCGTTATGAGAGGTGCTCATTAAGTGAGGTTCTACTGTACTTCTCAGGGATTTGTAGGGACTGTTTTGCCAAATTGTTGACATATCGAGGTGAAAAGTATGATGCATATAAAGAAGATATGTCCAAACAGACAATTTACATTAACTATTTTAATCTCAGAACATGCCAGAATAGGCAACTGCAATGTGAAAAATATCTGTGTCTTTTTTTTATAAGGAAATTACTGTAATTAATGTAAAAATTATCTAGCCAGATTTCTTTCTTTAGTGTGCACAGCCTCAGTTTAAAAGCTATGATAATACACCAAGTTAATCTTGGTCCACCTGTTAATTAACTTATCACACACACATTATATTAGAACAGATTAATATTAAAACTGAGGTCTAATACAAACTATGAATTTACTGTTGTGTTGCTTATTTCTACTATTCTTATGTGTTATTTATTTTCAGTATTCAAATGTTTTGATGCTGTTCAAGTGTTGAGCAGTTTTTCTATTTCTGATCTATTGTTTATTTAACAGATCAACATCATGGCACACAAGTGTAACCCATAAGTGCTCCATTCTACTTCTAACTCAAGCCTGAGTCTGAAAAATCTCAGCACAGTGCACAAACTCCGTTGCACTGGCGAGGATCCTGAAATACTTTGGGTAGAGTTTTAACTCCAAATTTTGCCTGGTCAGCACCGTTAGTCTACCCTTTTTTTATTTGCAACTGCCAAGGGATTTTTTTTTGTGCGTACGCGACAATACACACGGTCGTCTGGTCTTACTATCCAGAGACCAGGGACATTACTAGAAGTCCATGTGAAAAAATCCCAGCCTTCACCGGTGTTTGAACCCGGGACCTCCAGCACTCGAGGCGGATGTCATACCTTGAGACCACTCAGCCCTGAAAGACCTTACGAGTTTTACTATAATGCATGTTTAAGAACAATAGAGTGTCATTTCAGTGCACCTAGCTTTATATCCTAAATGACTTAGTCTGTCCACAGAGTGGATTGTCAAAACAATGAAGGCAACAGTTTACCTTAAAGCAGCTTTTATACAGAAGATAAACAAACCTACACAATTATTATTACTAATGAAAATTATCAGAAGTACCCATTTTGGCTCACATGTAAACTTGAGCTAAAATATATGATACATTTACTGTGCTGTCTCCCAAGTCGACCCAGCCTTGAGTGGGTTCCGGGTGCAGTCCCAGGAAGTAAAGGCGGCCAGCATGATGCTGAACCACATCACCCATCTTGTGTCGATTGGTTTATAAAAAAAATAGGTCTAGCCCTATATGCCCTATACGCCTAAAGGCATGGAAAAGGGTCCTTTACTTTTTACTGTGCTATTAGAATGCTAAATGTACTAATTCAAACAAAATTTAAAGTGTGGATATGGCTAAGTAGTGTCCGTCTCCCAGTTCAAAATTGCTTGGTTCCCATCCCTTTTTAGGTGGGGAATTTGAATAAGAACCAAAGTCTCTAATGATAATTTTAGGTGCTACCAGGTAAAAAAGCAAGGGGCCTTTATCCCGCCAGCAGCATAACAAGCATACAATGCTAGTCTCATATTTGTACAGACCAATCAGCATTGAATGGATGATGTAATCAACATCATGCAAGCCGCCCTTACTTCCTAGGGCTTAACCTCATTCATACACATTTGTGGTGAGGGTCAGCCAGGGAGCCAAGGTCATTTTTTTTAAGGAAAACAATCAGATTCAAACTCAAGAACTTTGGGCTGGCAGGCGAGCATGATAATGAAGCATACACGCCAGTATCCTGCTGTGGCTCATAGTGTACAGATTCTGTAAGACAAGGTCTCTGCTCTCCCTGCTTAAGGAACTCTCTGATGTCCTCTGTATATTTTGTTTTCACAGTTTCTGCCTCTGATTTCACTTCAAATCTCTTCCAAGTTAAGCTGTCCATTTATTAATATGATTAATCCAGTAGTTATAAATGTCACACTGTGGCTGGGTCACCTTGGTGCCTCTGCACTTTTCTTGCCCCAAATACTGATCCATCGTGTAATCTACAGCATCACTTTCATCCGTGTTTTCATCAGTCAGCATTCTGACTAATGTGTTTACTATGCCAGGATGTCTTTTCATTAAAAAAGACACATCAATAATGTCTATTTATTATTAAGGCATTTGTAACTGTCACTTTGTGACTGGGACATATCTTAGTGCCTCTTTGACCATCCCTTCAATGTTCTACCAAGGTTGTAGTTGTCTGTTTGTTAACATTATTAACCCAGCAGCTGTAATTGCCGCACTGTGGCTGGGACACATCTTAGTCAATGCCAACCTTGGCTTAACCTGTCCTTCTGCAGGTGGCCACCTTTACTCTGGTATAACTCTTGTACATGCATGAGCCATAGTGGCTAAATTGTCTGCCTGTTAGTCCAAAGGTCGTGGGTTTTAATCTTTATCAAGACAAATTTTGTGTAATTGACCTATGGCTTCCAGACGGATTTTTAGGGTGGTATGGGGTGTCGCAGGTCGACCTAGCCTAAAGTGGGTACCAGGATGTATGTCCTGGGGAAGTAAAGATGGCCGGCATAATGCTGACCACATTACCCACCCAGTGCCGATTGGTCTGTAAAAAATGGGTGCTATTCCCATATGCCCTATGCACCTTTACTTTTATTACGGCTTCCAGATAGACTGGCTTAAAAAGGTACCAGAAAATTGTATGGAAAGCAAAGGTAGCAAGCAAAACATAAATCAAATAATTCAATAAGTGCAGATTATTCTACTATAACCCCATGCACTAATTGAGTGAACAGTGTCTTTTACATGAATTAGCAGTGTCCTGTTCTGCTAGACATATTAAGAGGAAATGAGTTACACAAACTCCTGACCTCAGTGTTAAAGGTAGACGAGCACCCACTCTATATTCCATGGATATACTACCAAGTTTTAAACTCAATAAATTTTGACATAAACCTCTGAGTTAAGTCAAGAATTGACATCACAGCACTCGAGGCATTCCCATGCATGCTCTGTCCTCATCTTCAGCAGCCAGTGCAGAGTTCCAATACTGATGGTACCAGTCACAATCTGGTTTTATGTCCGTCTTGCCTTTCCTCTGAGTGTAGTGAGCCGGCCAGACCCTCTGGCTACACCCAGATGCCTCATTCTCTCCAGGCCATAATAATCTTGTTTCTCTTCTAATTCCTTTGCTTGTTCCTAAAGGGCAAACCTCTGAGTTTATACAAACGCTTACTTAGAAGACTTTGGAGGAGGAGGTCTTACGGGTCTTGGGGATTTCTGAATGTTGGAGTTAAAAGCTGTTAAAGATAATGATGATAAACACTGATGTACATTTGTTATATTCTGCTGGAGATCACCAGGCTTTGACTGCTGCATGATATCCAATCTTTTCTTCTGTGAATTAATGCTGGTTTCCTGCGACTCTGAATCTAATCTACATTTCTCATTATCTAATCTAACTCCTTTTTGAGAAAACATTACTTCCTGCTTTTCTCTTCTTTCAAATAATAATTTCATTTTGGCAGCATGACCATCTGAAACAAAACCCATGTTTTCCCCCTCGTTTTGACCCAAGACAGCAGACCTCTGTGCATGATTTAATACTGATCTTGGTGGGGCTTGCATATCTGACGCGTTTAATTGACTAGACAGAATGTCTGTCACGTGATCTCTCACTGCAGAACTGTTCAATAAATGTTTGTTGATGACTCTATCTGGGTCATCACTGTGTAGGTGAGCAGAGACGTCTGGACCTTGAGTCGGAGTCACTGCGTCTGCAACTGATGAAGTCATTTTGAATACATCTGGTTTGGGTTTTGGTGATACTATTTGACCCATTTTTGACTTTTCAACGATTGCAGACTGGTTTACAGCGTAGTTGAGAGTCATATCTTCTAAACTTTTGCACTTTAATCGCAGCTGCTGGCTAATGACTGCACCACTAGGCAGACGAGGTGGTGGTCGTTTCGGAGGAGGAGGTATACAAATTCTATTGGCACTGGATGTGCTAAATCCATGACGAGATGTAGCTGGTGATGAAGGTACAGAAGCAGATGTCCATTTTGTAACCTGAAGCAGAAATGTAAACAAGGGAATCAAAGAAGTCAATATTTATAAAGCACACATAAAAACATTTTTTTTTTTAATTAAATGTTTTAAAGGATAACTTTTTATCAATATTTATTGTCATGACTTGAGAATGTAATTTTGTCTCATGCTTTCTGCACTTTAAAGTTTTTACTATATTTTTATTAGGTATACTGCTGGGAAAATCATCATCATCATCATCATAAACCACTTCTGCCGTTAAGCATTGTTGGGAAGAATACTTTGCAATCCAGTGCATGCGGGCTGCCACTGCCTCTTGTCATGCCATGTAGGCGTAGTGTCTTTAATGTTGTCGATCCATATTTTATTGCGACTGTCCTCTTGCTCTTGTAGCTGATCTTTTGAGATGTAGTGCCTGAGATGGGATTTGATCTTGCTTCATTCTAGCAAGATGGCCAAACCACTTGATCTGCGATTTTTTGATGAATCTAGTACAAGGTGTCATTCCCACAATTTGTATGACAGTATCATTATTCACTCGATCTCGGATCCATGGACTCTACAAGGTTTGTGGCTTTTCTTAGGCAAAGCCATCTTGCAAGCGTGATTTTATGTATAGGGACTTTAGATAGAGTCCATGTTTGAGACTGGTAGCTTAATGTCAGAATAAATATGCTGTTTATAATCTGTCTCTTTGAACTCATAGTTATGTTTGAATGTCTTAATAATGGTGATAACTGGTGAAAATAACATGCTTTATAGAAAAAGATGGAGGGGAGATAAAGGTCACGTATGCCCATCTGCTAAGACATGTCATTGAATATTTACTGGTATGTAGGCCACATCTAGTTTGTGAGACAATAAGTTTAGGAAAAAATAAGTTTCTTAGAATTTCATCAAGAGACCAGTGAAAGATCAGCTGCGTAAGAGCAAGTTACAGTTTAAATTTTAAGTTGCAAGTAATGCAGTATGTGCAAGAAAATGAAAGCCAAGAGGCTGGGAAGAAGTAAGATGTGAATGAATATAATTTGTGAAGACTGACTGGAATAAAAAAATCTTGAAAAAACATTTCAAAGTCGACAGTCTTTTTATGGCAAGAAGGCAAAATGCTTAGAAGCAGAAATCAATCTGCTGGAATATGCCAAGAAAATATGTGCAGACTGTATTTCGGTATGCTTGGAAATGTTACACTTCGAAGTGCCTATTAGAAATCATGAGATTTCCTCAGAGTTGATTTAAACTGAGTTATGGCTGGGCAAAGTGCTTTATGGCACAAAATGACCTTGTGATTTGGTGGCGAACAACAAAGGCGCAGCATACACCTGGAAAAACATTTAGGTTTCAAAGACATGTTACGAAGTTACAGAAGACACACAGCTACATCATGGGGGTAATTCGAAATGCAGATGAAACTCTCGGATTCTTTGACATGCTAGGTAAAACAACACTGTACAAAGCTGGTGAAAAAAACAGTGTATGTGTAAACTTCAGGCTGGTGAAAAATTAGTGTATGTGCAAACTTCAGGAACAGAAAAACAGTGGTGTACCTAATGCTAGGTATCACTGATGACAGAAAATGCTTATAACTTGAAAATAAGCTGCACCCTATTTTTTCTTCAACTATTTTCAGTTAAATTACTGCAGCCTATGCACAAATGAATAGGGTAATACATACTGGATGTTTCAACACAAAAAATTCTGAACTAGGCATCACATCTTATAGTATTCAGAGCTTAAGATGCGCAATCAACATAACCACACACACATATTTACACAAAAGGGCAAGGGACAGATAATAAAAGATAAGATAAATTGAGAACAACATGCAAAAGAATAAATGAGATGCAGAAATTTGGGAGTGACCATGGTTTGTTTGTATTCCAGTAGACAAAAAGCACATCTATTTTGTGTATAAACAAACCCTATACTGTTAGGCCACTCATCTGGCACCCTTTCTTGTCTCACAACCCAAAAGTAGTCTTTGTTGATCAACTGTTTTTCCCCCTCTAGACAGTTGAATGCCTGATTCACTTGTATATATATATTGCCAACAATACAAAGAAAGTTTCATTCTATGATAAGCAATCAAACAGGAATAAAAATGAATAGAGAGATGCATCTTCCCTGTGGCTACATATGGAGTGAGTCATGGACCTCTAATCCTTAAGCTGGGGCTTCAAAATGCTATAGATTTCTCAGACTCTTGGACTTTAGAAGAAATGACAATCCTTTGGCTAATAAACAGCATCGTTTCTCGAATAATATTTTGGTCATATCAATTGGAAAAAATTATAGCAGAAGGCATGGTAACCAGGAAGGAGGGGCAGGGGCCAAAATGTGGCAGGCCAAAAGACAACGAAGTACTACTTTTATCTGTTTCTCGATCTGAGTTCTCTTTTAGGCAGACTCTACCAGGATATGCACAGGACCTGCTACGATGCGAATAAAACAATCTTTGAGTGTTTAAGACACAAACAAGTGCCAACAGAAAGATTTAAAGTGACACATGATGAGCAGATCACTAAAGTAGGAGAATGTGAGTCCCAGAAATTATACAATAGACAGGGCGACTGAGAAACGTATATTGAGCTGTTGGTAGTAAAAGAGTTATTCTGAGTCCCAGGGGTTTAGCATCGAGGCCTAAGGGGTGGTTCAGTTTTGAGCTCCCAGCAAAAGCCATACTATGGTGCTTCAAATTCAAGAAAAACTTGTATCCCACATGGGGATGACTATATATAATTTAACTGTTTTTCAGTGCTATCATAGCACTCCACTTTTGCTAAATGACCTTCATAGTGTGAATGAAATAATTTAGTTCACATGCTCAACTTTGAATATCATTCGGTTTTGTTTATGCTCAGGTCAGACTCTATAAACTAAACAGGTCCTGCATGGTTTCCCCATAGCACATGCTCTTGAGACTGTTTTTCAAGTTGCAGGTAAATTAAAAGTCCGGAGGCTGAGGTGTTTGAGGTTCTGTAGCAATACAAAGATTGAACAGCCTTAAAAGTCTATGGTTAAGCACCAGCAAGGAGATTGTTGTATGTTTAGGATTTTGAAAGCATGCATCTTCCCTGTGTTCTACATATTGATGTGAGTCATGGGGCACTCTCTCTCAATCCTTAAGAAAGAGAATAGGGGCTTTTGAGCTGAAATGCTGTAGAAAGATTCTCAGAATATCTTGGATAAAGAGAGGAGAAATATTGACGTCTTAAAAGATCTGAACATCAAGGAATCCAGATTTTTGGCTTCGGGTTTTGGATAACAGTTGTAGACATGTTCAAGGGTCTTTGCACGCAACAGCATCGTTTCTCGGAAGCTGAAATATTTTCGTCATATCAAGCGCCACAACGGATTGGAAAAAATTATAGCAGAAGGCATGGTACCAGGAAGGAGGGGCAGGGGCCAAAAGACACGAAGATGGGCACAGGATATAAGTGACTCCTTGAGTATGAAAGTTCATGAGGCCGGAGAACTGGCGAGAGACTGAGTTTCTTTCAGGCAGACTGTGATGAGAGCGACGTTCTGCAAAGGACCTACTACATGATGATGATGAGTGTGAATACTGATAAGGAAACAATCTTTTAGTGTTTAAGATTTACAATGACAAGTTATGAGACAGAAAGATTTAAAGTGACACATGAAGCAGAATGGAATAAAGTAGGTAAGAATGTGAGAGAAAATGAGATCTGAAATTATACAATAGACAGGGTGACTGAGAAACGTATATTGAGCTGTTGGTAGTAAAAGAGTTAAGTGTCCGAGTCCCAGGTGGTTTAGCATCAGAGGCCTAACGGGTTTTTTTTTCTAATGCAGTTTTCTTTCCATGGTCTTTCCAATATCACAAGTTTTTCCTTGGGCTTTCTTTCTTTGGCTATAAAAGACCATACTAATTCAACTGCCGTGCAACATACACATATTATACACCAAAGCTGTCATTTAGTAACAACTTGTAACTCTAGACAATAAAGCATCTTTAACAAACTAACATAAAAATTACACCAGGGTCATGTGCTTTTCGTGCTTCTAGTGCTGGCATAATGTCCTCCACTTTTGCAGATGAAATTACTTTTATAAATAGCCTAATAATTGGTAGATATGAGGTCAGAGGGATCTTGTGATAATTTTCTCTTGCTTCTCATGCTCACAAGGGTTCATAGATTAAACTCTTCTTCTTCTTGATATTGGTAAGCGTTCACTGGCTTTAGATGAACTCTTCTTTTTGTGTCTCGACTGTTTGTCTTGTTCCAGAACCTGAGTGTTGTGTGCACATCCATTTTTAAAGATCTGCCTAATTTGTGTGCAGATTGTTGGTTTCTTGCCTCTCAGGCAAACACACTACAAAAGAACATCGTGACAACTAGAAAGATCAGTAGAAAAGGGGTAGAGGCAGACCAAGAGAGATGATGTTGGATGGACTGAAACGATGGCATGGAGGGATATCATCAAGAGAGCTGTTCCAGGCAACCAGGGATCGTGATCTGTGGAGATGCATGAGCGCCTTCACCAGTTGGCAGGACACATAATTATGATGATGATGATGTTGCAAATGCTCTTCAAGTTTGATCCCAGCTACAGGCAATTTGGCATCAGACCACTTTGCATTGTTTCAACAGTTGGATCGACAGCTGACTGTTACAGAAAGCAACAACAAACTGCTGAGCATAAAATTGCCTAGTGAAATCACAAACTGCCAAAAAATGCTGAAGCTAGTTCCGAAATGTCCTGTTAAGGAAACACAACCATCTCTAAATGTCTTTACTCTCTCTCTATTTATATATATAGGATATATATATATAATATATAATATATCTATATATTTTATTTTATATAGGAGGCTGCGTTTGCGCAGTCTAGAGATTCATTTTCAAATCCAGCGGCGACCTGCTGCAGCCCACGGCCATGTTCGAAACTTTTCCGGGGTTTACCCAGCCTCTAGGAAATGGGTACCAGAGTACACTCTGGGGTAAATGGAGGTGTCGCTGTGTATGAGGACGGCGACATGTTTCCTATAAACTGTCCGTACTGGTATATATTATGGTTTATATATGCATGACGCTGGTTCACATCTCCAGACTTTACCTTCATATATATATATATATATATATATATATATATATATATATATATACACACACACACAAGCACATGTACCTATATGTGTGCATATATATTGACCAAGGCTAGTCACATATTTGCTGAAATTGACATCTGAAAACAAATAATTTCAAACTTCATAATTTTAGATGCCATCCACACCCGGCTCTCTAGCGTAGTTGGCTAAACCGGATTGCGCGGAGACCGGGTGACGAACTCCTTGTGGTCCGGGTTCAATCCCGGGGGTAGGCAGGAAAGCCACATTTTCTCCAAGATTTACGGTATTTACAATGGAATTAAGGTCGAAAGGTTGCGATATCCATAATACCGAGCCTAAGGGTTAACAACTCATGGCTTCTGGATACTAAAACAAACAAACAAGATACCATCCACACTTACCTTGGCATTTCCTAGAAAAGTCTGTTTATTCAGGTTATCAACTAAAACTTGTTGCGGTCTGAGCACACAGTCCCTCACAGGCAAGACCAGGAGTCTACCATATTTCTGCTGAGAAGTGGCAAATGTAGGCTGTTAGTTCTGAATTCACTGAGTTGAGTTGAGTCAAGAATTGACATTACAGAACTCGGAGCAATCCCATGCATGCTTCGTCCTCATCTTCAGCAGCCAGCACAGAGTTCCAATACTGATGGTACCGGTCACAATCCGGTTAAAAGTCCGTCTTGCCTTTCCTCTGAGTGTAGTGAGCCGGCCAGACCCTCTGGTTACACCCAGGTGCCTCATTCTCTCCATGGTGATTCTCTCTGAATTCACTAACAATAACTAACATGTGTGGTTTTTTAATCAGCTATAATAATCAACAACAAAACATCTAAATGGGAGGAAAATGAGAACAGATACAAATTTTGAAATTAGGTCCAGTGCAAAAATGTGTTTTCAAACAAAACAATATACAACTGCAAGTCAAACTTAACAAGTGGCTGAGTAAATTACAGAAGACAGTGAAGTTCATACCAGAGACAACATTGCAGATATATATATAATTTTTTTCAAGCGAACGAAAGAAGAAGAAGAAGAAGAATATACATATGTATGGCATTTAATTTTAGGACCAATCTTATTCTCACCCACTCCTTCTCACTCTCTCTCTCTCTCTTTTTTCTAGCCTTCAATCCTTCCCTCTAATTTTTATCTTTTCTCTCCTCTAATGTTTGTTAATATGGGTAACCAAACACAAACATATCTCTTCTCTCCTCAGATGTTTGTTAATATGGGTAACAAAACATAAACATATCTCTAACCTTCTTGCCCAAACATTCCTCTGTAACAGTAACACAGTGGTCCAGCTGAAACAAAATCACAAATAGAATGTGTTGATAAAACTGACTTCAATTAGTTGAAATCCTAAGGATATTTAGCAACTAGCTGCTATACACAGCGGCTTCTAAGCTGCAAATAGACTGACAAAAAATAGCAAGAATAAGGATATCACGTTTAATTAAAAGCTTATATAATCTACACAAAATGAAACAAAAGACAAATTACCAGCTGTGAAGACAATACGATCTCTGCACCGAGCTGCTTGTAGTCAATGCAATCATTCAGAATCATGGACCTAGCACTGAGAAAATCTGAAACTGCGGCATCAAATCTGTGTAGAGACAAGACACTCAGTAACACCATTTTTCACATGCATGGTTAGAGTTGGTAGCTTTGGAAGAAGAAGAGGAAATGCAGTCTGAAAATGTCTTCTTGTTCTTCTTCTTTCTTTTGGTTGAAAAAGTTTATCTATATCTGCAATGTTGTCCCTAGTATGAACTTCACTGTCTTTTGTAATTCACTCAGCGATCTGTAAAGTTTGACTTGCACCGATGTTTCTCTTGGCCATAAGTTTTGCCTTGATATGTTGTATTTGGGACAGTTTTGGAGGACATGGTCTGTTGTCTCAGATGCCAATGTCATCTTATGGTAGGGGAGCCTGGCCCTTATCCGTGGCTGGCGGCTGGTCTAGAAGAGAAGCTCTGACAGGAGTGACAGACAGAGCACTGCTCTTCTAATCAAACAGCTTCTGCAGCATTCTTTGTTCCAAGTGTATTGGTGTTACCCTTCCTTTGCAGTAAACAAGGCAGGCCGAGCGAAGGATCAGGATGCATGGGCAACACATGGTCTCTATAATACTGCCCAGGCTTTGTGCAATGGACATGTCTTGAAATCCCATGCTCTAAATGCAGACGAGTTCTTGAGGCAGACAGGTCTTTCTATCACACTCGCAATCACCATAGGCTGTGATTTCCATACCTCCCCATGGAACAATGAAACACTATCGACTGGAAAGTGGTGCCAACGAAGTAGCTTTGGGAATAGTAGTTGGCTCAAGATTAAGCCTCTGCATATTTTATACTGATCAGAATCTAAAAACTTCTTCTTTCATCGTCTCTCTATTTTTCTGCTGTGCCTAATGATTATAAATGGAAACAATGACCTCAACCCAACTCATACCCAGTCCTTTATAGACTCGTTCATAAATGTTTGGATTGTAGCTAAAGTTTTCTCTGAGATGAAATAACCAGTCTCACATCAGCCCATCTTAGTCACCTCTTCTGATTCCCTGTGTAAGTTTTCCGGGGCCAGTTCTGGAGGAAGAGGGAACAGTCCCACTGCCCTAATAAGCATGTCTTAGAGGTGACTAAACATGGGTTTGCTGAAACTGCATGTGTTGCGCTCAAAGGTGCAAACAGTGCAGCCTTACAGTAAACCATAACACAAAATACCAACAACCCTTTTAAAGACCTGCACCAAAGAAGAAGAAAAAGCTCTTATGAAATGCATGACAGGTTACATGGTTTTATTATTTTCTGTTTTCATAGGGGGCTGCGTGGTCTTGAGGCATGGTGTCCACCTCGAGTGCTCAATTACCGGTAAGGGCTAGGATTTTTTCACCTGGATTTGGACTTCTAGTAATTCCCCTGTGGTCTCTGGGTAGTGAGAATGGGTGCCCGTGTGCATTGTTGCACACGTTAAAAAAATCCCTTGGCGGCATGAAATCGATTAAAAAACAGTGGTCTAATGGCGCTGCCTGGGCAAAATTTGTAGTTAAAAATCTACCCAAAGTATTACAGGATCCTCACCGGTGCTACAGAGCTCGTGCACTGTACTCAGCATCTTCGGACTCAGGCTTGTGTTAGAAGTAGAACGGAGCACTTATGGGTTACTACCCGTGTGCCATGATGTTGATCCGTTGCTCGAAACCTCAAACTTGTTTTCATCATGGTAAAGGTAAAAGTAAAGTCGGGAGATATGAACCAGCATCATTGCACACGGTTATAAACCATAAGTGTTCTGTCACCAGTACGGACAGCTGATAAGAAAATGTCAGCTTGTGTCGCCATAGCTACAATGATGTTTCTCTATTTACCCCAGAGTGTTAACTCTGGTACCCATTACCTAGAGACCTGGCCAGGTTATCTGCATGTAAGGCCTTGTGAATGTGAGCCATAAACTGTTTGGGGAGGTAATTGATGAAGAGAATAAACAGGGTAGGAGACACGGCTTTCTGAGGGACACCTTCTTGTAATCTGACCAGTTTGCTCTTGTGTTCTTCAGTCTGACTCTCACACAGTGTCTGTAGAGATAGTCTCTAATCCAGGCTAACATATGCCATATAATCCTACTGTGTGCTAGTTTTAGTAAAATTCTTTCTTCCTGTCAAAGGCTTTGGTCAGGTCGAAGAAAGTAGCTAGCAGTTTGTATTTTTTCTGGAAGGCATTTTCAATTTTCTGTGCGAGATAAGAGGTTTGGTCATCAGTTCTTCTGTATTCCCTAAAGCCTGATTGGCTGTCATCTAATATCTTGTTTTCTTCCAGGAAATCAGGTAACCCGTTGTTCACTAATCATGGTTTTCCCCAAGGCAGCTTAGGAGGCTTATGGGGCGGTAACTGAATTTGTTTTCCTTGGGCTCTCCCTTCTTGGCTATGGGAACTATTTCTGCCTCCTTCCATTCCACTGGGAGTAGTCCCTGGGTCTAGGATTGATTGATAAGGTCTAAAAGTCGTTGCCTGCCAGCTGGTCTTAACTGTACTGTCACTCACTTCATTAGTTATTCCATCAGGTCCAGGTGCCTTCCTTTTCTTAAGTTTTCTTAATGCGCATTCAAGTTCGTGGGGACTGAAGATTTTATTTATTATATCTTGGTTATTTTCTTGCTTGTTATTGCTTTTCCTCAGTTCTTTTGTCACTTCCTCTTCTCTCTCATTCCAGACATTGAGATTTTACTTCCCTCAGCAAAACCAGCAGGTTTGCTGCTTGTTTGCCGGTTAAAGTTTTCTCACCATCTTCAATGACAGTGTTGTCATAGCTGGTATGATTCTCCTCATTTAAGCTATTTACTAGGTGCCATAGTTTGTTACTGTCTTTCTCCATGTTGAGAGCTGCCGTCTTTTCCTGCCATCTTTTTCTGATGCACGTGAGTTTTTTCTCCTATAAATAGCCCTGTGAGTTTTTTCTCCTATAAATAGCCCGATGTTTACTGTGTTCTATTACATTTTACTCTTGCTTCTGTGCTTTTTTTTGTTTAGCTGTTGCAGTTCGTGGGTCCAGAAGGATTTGTAGTTTTTTCCTTCGACCTCAGGGATTGATTTTTTTGCTGCTTCAGGTATGATACTGGTGAGAGTTGTGGTGAATTAGAAATCAGAAAGCTGATATTTTAAGGTAAAAACTGCCTAGAGAGAAACAATAAAATTAAAAAAATTAAAATCTTTTTGTTACCTTTGGATTTCATAATAACATATACCTCTTTGGTAGAAAGCAAGCGCCAGATACTTATCCTGATCTATGCTTCTGTTGAAATACTGAAAAGGTGAAAATAAGAAAACATATATATATGTGTGATACAATATGGACATAAATGATCAAAGTAATCCACAACAGTCTTATGGTGTGTAGAGACAAGCTTTCCAATATATATTATACAAGGATATTTCATCCTATGCTAGGCTCTAAAGCTACAATCTATGAGTAGTACATCCATTTTCAAATTCACTGTATATATGCTGTGACATCAAAAGGAAAGTAGCAGGGAAATAGAATATGGCAAGAAGACAGAAACTGTGCAAGTAAGAAGCATCAGAAGTAATAATGCAAGATGAATCAGTAATGAAGCAAATGTAGGGGAAGTAGATAGAATAATGATGTAAGTGAAAGAGAAGAAAAAGTAATGATGCAAATATAATGGAAAGGGAAGTAATAATGCTAGTACAGTGGAAGAAAAAGAAGGTATAATGCAAATATACAGGAAGAAGAGAAAGTAATGATACAAGTGCAGGGGAGGAAGAGGAAGTAAATGCACATATACATGAAGTAATAATACAAGTAAGAGAAAGAAATAATGCACATGTTAGTTGTGTATCCTTTACAGGACGTTGCAGAACCAACCCCAGCATTTTTTGTTTGGCTGTTGTGGTTTTTCTAGGCAAATTTTACGTTGAGTAGTTTGTCACTGCTCCCTAAACGGTCAGCCCTTGGTACCACTGTCAAAACTAACGCAAGACAAACCATCCGCCGCTGGGATCGAACCCGGCATCCCAGCATTACAAAGCGCGTTTGCAAACCCTAAGTCACAGATGCCAACAATGCACATGTACAGAAAGAAAAGAAAGTAATAATGCAAGTAAAGGGAAAGAAGAAGAAAGTAATAATGCACATGTAAGGGAAGAAGAAAAAGAAGATATAATGCAAGTACAGGGAAAGAAGAGGAAGTAATAATGCAAGTAGAGGTAAAGAAGAGGAAGTAATAATGCAAGGAACTAATTAAACTATTCATTACCTGTATGGCATCTATATATCTATGCTGTAACATGCACAATAGGCCAAGATTGTAGAATATTCTGGCAGATGGGTTCTGAATCTCCAGTAACTTGTGTGCTGCTTCATTAAATCTGTTCTCATCCAGCAGGCACATGGCAGCATGCCACTTTGAGACAGTGTCCCTCAGAGTCATCTATCACCTGAAGTAGTAATCATCATTATCACAACCCATACAGCTAGCTCTAGGTTAGAACATCAGAGCATTAGAACAGGGTCTCTCAAAATGTGTGTCCTTGATTCATTTTTCTGCAGAAGAAATGTTGCACAACCCACTCAGTGTTTAAAAAACCAACAGGCATTAACAATGAGAGAGAAAAGAGAGAGAGAGAGAGAGAGAGAGAGAGAGAGAGAGAGAGAGAGAGAGAGAGAGAGAGAGAGAGAGAGAGAGAGAGAGAGAGAGAGGGTGAAATACAACGTGTGTTTGTGAGGAGTGTGAAACATGAAACTAAACTAAATATATGCTAAATCTAATTTTGTTTCTTTGCTTATGTGGGCATGATTTTCCCTCAGTGAGTCGCAACTTCTACTTTGAGAAGCTCTGTACTCGGTACAAATGGTGTTTAGTGACAGCCTAACACTGTAGTGATTAATTAGGTGATATTGAGATATTGGAATTCTTTTTCTTTGCATTCACCTGCTATAAATTCTGGAGGAAAGTTCTGGTTGTTCATCCACTTCTGAAAATGATATCTGCATCATGCTACAGATATAGGTTTACATAGAAACGACCAATTGATCATTGGTTGAGCAGCGGATGGTTGCCACGACAGACACAAAAAATTATATAGCAGAAGAGGGAACCTTAAGGCTATATCAAATAACACATGGTGTATGTTTCGATCGAGCCTCACTTGTTATTTCTAACACTTCATGACTGGCCACCCTGGATCTTTACTGCCATTAACTATCAGTAAAATTACTACAAGTAGTTTCCTCTTTTGTCATTGCAACTGTCTGCTGCTTAAACAATGATCAACTGGTCGTTCTCGTGTAAAACTAAAACTGTAGCATGATGCAAATATCATTTTGAAAATCTGCACTTTATCAGACAAATAAGTAAAGTATGAAAAGTAAAGATCTTTTCACGCCTTCAGGCGCATCGGGCACATGGGAAGAGCAACCAATCGGTACTAAGTGGGTAATGTGGTCAGCATTAAGCCGGCCGTCTCTACTTCCCCATGACATATATCCTGGTACTCGTTTTACTAAAAAAAAATTTGGCTGGGTCGACCTGCGACGCCCCATGCAATGATAAAAATCCACACAGCCAACAGTAGGTTTCGATCGCGGTATATTGGAATTACACATGGGAAGAGCAACCAATCGGTACTAAGTGGGTAATGTGGTCAGCATTAAGCCGGCCGTCTCTACTTCCCCATGACATATATCCTGGTACTCGTTTTACTAAAAAAAAATTTGGCTGGGTCGACCTGCGACGCCCCATGCAATGATAAAAATCCACACAGCCAACAGTAGGTTTCGATCGCGGTATATTGGAATTACGAGTCTGACTCGCAACGGAACGCATAAGCCACTCTCAAACAAATGATAAATGTAAAAATTACAAATAAGTAATGTATTAAATGACGTGGATAGCTGAAACATTACCATTCCGTCTTGTACTTTTCGTCGTCTGCATTGTGTTAACAAAAATATGGATTCGAGATACACTATGATTGTGTTTATTCGCATTGATCGCTTTTAATTGTATTTTACTTAAATTACAATACTGTTTAACTTGTGTGTCAACTTAACTGCTTGATTACTTGCATGTGCGTGAATATGACTTCATATGAATTAAGAGCAAATATAGATTTCCGAGTTTAAAAAAAAAATTTGTTCCATTATTTTCTATGTTTACACAAGAAATATATTTTGTGTAACGGAGATCAACAGTAAACGAAATTGTACTGGTCCGCCCCAGTGTTGCCACTTTGGATCTTTTATATCCAAATTTAGATCTTTTTCATTGCATTTAGATACTGTTTTTGACGTTTAGATCGTAAATATTTTTTAGATTCTTTTCATATGGAGTTGGATATTTTATAGATTTGTTTTCTTTTATTGTCAATTTAATAATTACTGTGTAAAATATTTAGTACTTTATTTTTTTTTTTGTCTGGCACGTACATTGTGACAACTGCCATTACTTGAACTTTGAACTCTCACTGGGGTCAACGCACAAATATCAGGAACCCCCGTACTGATTAATAAAAACGCGCGTAAATAATACTAACTTTGTTTCAACCGTATCCTCACTGTGCTGACTTTGCGTTTCTTTTTCATGTGATTTTAAAAAAAAAAATTGCTCACCTTCTTATGTGGCTTTCACTTTGAAAAAACCTTTCAACATGCCAAAAGTAAAGTATGAGCGAAAATTTTGGAAAGAGTGGTTGCATGATGATAAAATTAAAAACTGGGGATATGACCAAAGCTTGTTGTAAGTACTGCAAGTGTGAAATTAAAACGAAAATACAAAACTCAAAGAGTCATGAAGACTAAAAAAGCATAAAACTGCAGTTTCATTTAAAGATATTACACCGCTGACATATGTTTTCAGAACTATACTGATAAATTAATCATCAAAAGTTGAAGTATCAGTCGCAATGATTTTTAATTTGTCACTGCGCAATTTCAAACTGTGACCATTTGATCGATTTGTAAAAAAGCTTGGACTAGTTCAATTTGAAAAGTGTGGTGTAGAAAGTATAGTTTAGGAACTGAAGGACCTTTTAATCAGCATACAGTTAGGCTTGAAGAATTTCGCTGTAATTGGTACTGATAATGCCTCAGTGATGGTTGGTATAATCAATGGCGTTTATGCCAAGTTGAAGGAAGCTAACCCATCGTTAATACTTATAAAATGTATGCGTCATTCATTGCGGCTAGCATTATCATATGCTTCATCTAAATATTTATCAAGGAATTTGGAATACCTTATTGCTGAAACACTTTACTGGTTTTCCAAATCATTTGTCAGACAACAGCAATACAATACAATACATTATATACAGCCTTGAATGATGGTTCCACACCACCAAAAATTATGTCAGATTGCAAAACTAGATGGTTATCAATTTAACCAGCTGTTGAAAGAATTATGAAGCAATGGCTGAAGTTGAAGACACACTTTGAAATAACAAGACAAAGTGAAAAGTGCTAGACAGCTGAAATACTATATGGAATGTACAGCGATGAAAAAAATGTGTCATTCATTCTCTTTTTATAACCTATTCTAATGGAAGTGCAAAAAGTTAATAAACTGTTCGAATCTAAACTTGTTGATAAAGTTAAATTACTTGATGATCTCACCTTGCTATTTCACTCGGTAAAAGACTGGTGTTGCCAACTTCTAAAGCTGATTTGCTCACTTGCACTATAGAGAGCTATTTGGCTCCTAAGCCACACCTTGGATATTAAATCGAATAAAAAATTGATTATTTAAAAAAAATAAGGACTGTTAACAGAGAATGAAGAGAACAACTTAAGAAAACGCTGTCAAGATTTCCTTCTCTCATTATTGAAGCAATTGAAGCAGAGACTTCCTGAAAATCTAGATGTTTTAAAAAATATTTCACTTTTTTCTGTGAGCAACATACTTCAGCCAATAAAGGACATACCTAAATATCGTAAAGTTATAACATTTTTAGAGGCACTGATAATAGTGTCGCGGAAGCAGAATATCAGTTAACCAAAATAAAGTTAGCTGAATGGACAAACAAAACAGAAACTAAAGCGTTTTGGAGTGAAGTGAGACAATTTAAAGATGCCTCATCAAACAGTCCATTATGTAAGCGCTTCAAAGTACCATGTCTGCCATGATACTACCCCACTCAAATGCTGACATAGAAAGAGTTTTCAGTGCTAGGAATCATATCAAATCTAACCTAAAAAACAGGATGAAATTTGACCTCTTAAATGCTATCGTGCCATTAAAATTCGGCCTGATGAGACTAGAGAAATAAGCCTACTGTTCCACTTGTAAAGAAATTTGAACAGCTAAAGCATACCAGGGTCATTTTGGATATGAAGCTTCATATATATATGATAAGTCATAATAAAAGCTATGTAATTTTTGACTTTTTCAATTTGGATGTTTTTTCTAGATCTTTTCCACTCAGGTTTAGATCTTTTTAGATATTTTTGACACCGTTTTGGATATTTTTTGTCAAAGAAAAGTGGCAACACTGCCTGTAACAGGTTGTAACAGATTCATCATCATGGTGTGTCTTTTTACGACACACATGGCAGCGCAGTTTATTCTTCCATTCCGATCTGTTCTGTGCAGTTGTTTCAATATTTTAGATGGAATGCAGTCCAGCACCTTTGGCCTCTCTCATCAACGTTCATCTTAGTCAAAGACTTAAGGTTTCATTTGGGCCACCTCGTAATATGCGTTGTATCCTCAGTCACTTTGTTTCCTGATCAATGCATATTTCCTGATTTTCTGTTCGCCTCTCTCAGAAGGTTTCCAAAATATTGTCAGCTTCTTTGTCCTATAACTGTTGAAACAAGCGGTTGCCCAGATATTTCTCTCATTTCTTTCCCTTTCTCGAATTCATCCCATTTAATGTTTATCAATGTCCATAGGCATTTATTTTTTAAGGCTATCCTCCGAATAACGGTCACAAATTATCAAGGCCAAAAATATACCCTAACAGGGCCTCAGTCACATGTAAATTGCGGACCTCTTTCGGGCGACTACACAGCAAACTGCTGAAAAACTTCTGCCGAGTTTAAGTTACCGCTGAGAGTATCTCCAGCGCCGCTACGCGCGGCGCTGAGCTGGGATAAACTAAATGGCTGGGACTCAAGAGCTGCAGCTACCGCATATCCTGCAGCTTGCTTAATTTTATTTGCTCGTGAGTCCCAGCCATCTAGTTTTAATACTCTTGGCGGTGGCAGTATAGTCACCCGAAAGAGGTCCACAATTTACATGTTCTTTTTCTTCTTCTTGTTGTGTTGGCTTTCTGATTTACACCGACATACAGGTTCTTGTGATAAACTTGACTGTTTTTATGAGTTCCTTTTTAGTCCCATACAACTTTGTGTGCAGTGGTGACTCACCGGGCCCGTATTCCCTTCTTAATGGGCTAAACAAGGGACAGTGTTGCAGGACATGTTCTGCAGTCT